CTGCTATCACTAGCCTGAGAAAAATGAAGTTATCTTTCTGTAGAAAATGTACTTAGGCATTCTCCTAAGTTAAGCTTTCAGAAAAACTAAGCGATGGTATGTTCTGGTTCTACCACTGTATAAAATAAAAATAGTAACTTTTTTAGGGCTTAGTGTGTTTCAGGCACTGGGCTAAATGTTTTACTAACACACAATTAAAATATTGAAGTAGATTTAAAGTAGATTCTTAACAACAATATGATACATTTTTAATATCCCAATTTTCCAGATGAGAAAACTGAAGTTTACTGGTAAGTAACTTCCCCCCAGATTGTAAGTTAATAGTAATAGCAGGGGCATGGCGGAACTCCAGGGTAGGCCAAGGGTCTGATCTTAGTGCATTGGCCATCTTAACCAAAATCAGTGTGTCCCTTCTTCCTCTGTGCCCGCCTTCACTGACCTTCACGAGGTGTTATTCTTAGCTTTTATCACTCTCGTGCAACATAATCAGCTGCTTTGTGAAGCTCGACAGCCTCTTACATGTTTTACGTTCTCTGATTCAAATCACCGAATATAATTCTAGACTTTTTTCTCTTTAACAAGTTTTATTATTTTTTTTTTACCCTGGCACTGTTAGTTATAATTATGTCACAATATACATATAGGATCTAATTTAAGCACTTTAAAAAAAAGACAGTTGACTCCTCAGTCAGGAAACAGTAGAGAAAGACAAATAAGTAAAAAGTAAAATACCATTTATTTGACATTTTTAGTTAGCAGGTGCCACGGGCATGTAAGATTTGATTTGTTTCTGATCAAACCATACATGGCTCTTCTGAACAAAATGTTAAGTAGGAAAACGTTTTAAGATATTCAGCCTCAAGCCAGATTTAGGATGCTACTAGTACTTGATGCATGTTAGAGACTAGTAAAATCTTATTTACTCGGTGAATTTTTTAAAAAAAGATAAAAGTCATAGAGGAAGGTCTTTTAAGTAGATCAATTCTCAGCTAAGACTACTGTCTTTAAGAAAACAATGAGGATACCTATCAAAATATTTTGAAGTAATTTTCCTAGAAGTACTTGTTAGTTTTATTAAGATCAATTTTTATCGATTGATCATTCACTCACCTGATAAAAATTTATTGAAAGCCTATTATGTGCAAGAACAATGCTTATTAATGGGTTTACAGTGGTGAATAAAATTGGTATGTTCTGCCCCCAGAGTGCTTAAATTTCTATGAGGAAAGCAATAAAACACTAAAAAGAAATTAAATTTCAAAGAGTAATCAATGTTCTACATTACTGTCAACAGTCATTTGGGGAAACTACTGAGTGGGAGAAGGATATTGTATTCCACCCATTCAATCTACACACAAATGAGAATATATAGGCTGACTCACCGATAATATGCGAACAAAACGGGCACCACTTATTAAAAAGGAGCAGCAACTATAATATTTAGCTAAAGGGACCCTTGAAATCTGACATATGATTATTTTGGCCATAAATTGTAAGTTAAATTAAAGAACTGTTGGTAAGGTCTTAGTCTGAATTAAGAACATATTTCCATGTGCCACAATGAAGTAAGATCTGAAGAGCTGACTCTACATTGCAAGTTATTATTTATTTTTAGGCATTAATAGATTATGGGATTGTGCTGCTTCTTGATGCTGGAAAAACTGTCACATTAAATACCTTCATTAACCGTGGACTTATCTATAGAGAACTAGAGCAGTACGCCTTTGCATTAGAGGTAAGCCTTCCTGTTAGGCATGTATAAATGGACCTACTTAACTTTGCATATTTACTTCTGAAAACTAGTGACCAAGTTTCAATTGTGGGGAACTGGCGAGATTAGTGATTACTTTAACAAGAATTGTATCAAAACACTTAGAATGGCTAATAGAATCTTTGCCAAGAAAATGTGTATTTTTACTCTGTTTTGGTTACAGATAAATAGCAAATGTATTAAAAACATTCTAATTTCATTAAGACTATCCCCTCTCCCAAGGAAGTGCACACAAAATTCAGTTATTTTGTAAATAAAGTAATTTATCATTTACTCTGCTGTCCATTGCTCTTTCTCATTCACAATGTTCCTCTTTATATATTGAAAATGTATCAAAATAAATCTGTTGCAGACAGGGTAGGAAATATTAATAGTTGCTTGGAATGGGTTACTGGGAACAGGCTTTTGAATCAATGGGAACAAACACTAAGAAGGGTCATGGAAGGAAGCATATGTAGTATATTGAAAAGAAACAGGCAGTTTAAAATGTATTTCATTGTAGAATAATTAAGCAAAATCCTTAATTCTCATTTTTAACTTTTTATTTTTATTATATGTTTTACAGTAATATTAAGAAACATAAAGCAAAATTAAACAGCACTTCGAGGTTTGCGTTTAAATACTAACACTTTTGCTTCTTTATTTTTAAGGAAGTGCCACCTAACACTGTGTGTAATGTGTTTCCGATGGTTTTTCTACTGCAGCAGTCATCATAGGAGATTCTGCCCAACAGAATCACTTTCTTTCTTTTTTTTTTTTTTTTGGAGAGGTTTTTGCTATAGGTCGCGTGCGCTCACCAGAAAGACAGAGACAGAAAGATAGAAAGTGAGAAATCACCCCCCAGCGGGGATGGCCATGCCGGAATCTCTTCTCCTCCATTCTCTTCTTGGAATCTTGGGCATGCACGCACATGCACTTCGTATGAGTTTAGCCACCGAATCTGGGACTCGAACCGCGGTCACCTACATGGGAGTTCAGCAACATAGCCATTACGCTAACTGCTGGTCCCCAGAATCCCTTACTTTCTAGGCAGTTTACAATATGATGAAATGTAATCTCAACATTTTAAATTCTTTTAAGCTTTTTGATATATTAAAAAGTCTTTGAGATAATACCATTAGGATGTCCTTAGTCAAGGGAGTGGAAGAGCTTCTCTGCAATAGACAAGAAAGCTTAAAATTTGGGAAATTTGGGCAATGGTGTTGGATGGAGAAGGTGAAAAAATGGACGCGGGAGCAAAGGATGTCAGCTGTCGAATAAAATGGCCTGTGTTATCCACTGAGTGAGATTAACTTAGTGTTAGACAACTGCATTGCCTCTGTTTATTGCACAGTTCCTGCATACTAAGTTCGCAACAATACTGTACAATTTATAGTTATAACTTACAGATGAGGAAACTGATATTTAAAAGAAATTACATAAAAGATCTCTTAACCAGAAAATATTGGGGTAAGACCTGAAGTGAGGTCTCATTTGACTCCAGATTCTATTATATGTTCTTTTAGACAAGGGACAGGCATTAAAGATACGGAGATAAGACGAGAGTTCTAGTTTATTTATTCATTTATTTTTTAAGAGAGATCTTTTGCTATAAGGTGCATGTACTTGCCAGAGAGACACACAGAGAGGGACAGGAAATAAGAAATCACCTCCTGGGGTGGATGGCCTTGCTGCCACCTCTTCTCCTCCATTCTCCTCTCAGAATTTTGGGGACTCATGCACACATGCCAGGGGTGAGTTTGAAGTTGCTGGGTCCAGGACTCAAACCTTGGTCGACTATGTGGGAGTCCAGCAATGTAACCATTACACCATCTGCTGGTTCCAGGAGTTCCAGTTCTTGAGGCGCAAATGTTTTAGTGAGAATCGTTCTTGATTCTTCTCTTTCCTGACACCCCAAACTTAACCTGTTACATATCCAGTCAGCCCTGCCACTAAACCATGTTCTGAATGAAATCACCTGCCATAATTGCCACTGCTGTCCTCCTTTCGACCAGTAACTATGAGAGCAAGATGTGAACTTGGATCTCAGAACTGAATCATCTCTCAACTGGCCTGTCCACATCCACGCTTGCCCTTCTACATGCTGTTCTTCATGCAGCAGCCAGAAAGATTGCTAAAGAATATGAAGCTGATCAAGTCATTCCTCTTCTCGAAACTCCCTGCTAGCTTCCCATCACACTTAGAGTAAAATCTGAATTCTGAGCTGTGAGCAACCAACACCTTACAAGATCTGACTGCTGCTAGCCTCTCTGACCTCACAGCCAAACATTTTTTTCCTGCACTCTAGTCATTCCACTCTGGCCTCTTGCTATTCTGTGGAAAGGACAAGCTACCTTCCTGCCCCAGGGCCTTTACACAGCTATCTGTTTGTGTATGCATACAAAACTCTGATGATCTGTGTAAGGTTCATGACCTCCTCACATTCAGGTTTCTGCTCACATGTGACCTTCTCAGTCAAACAGAAAATAGATAGATTAAAATAGAACATTAAACTATAAAAAGAACCCAAAATAAGTCTAGAAAGGGAAAACAGGGGAACAGGAACAGGAGACCAGCAGAAAACAATAAAAGAGTTGTCCTAAATCTAGCCTTATCAGTAGTCACATTAAATGTAAATAGTTAAAATATACTAAATAAAATAATGAGAATGGCAGAAAGTGTTCTGATTATATTCTAGCCACAAGAAATACACTTTAATTTTAGATAAGTAAAATGAAAAGCCTAGACAAACATAAACCATACAAACACAAAAGGAAAAAGGTTATTTTCCACTATGTCAAATTTTTTAAAACTAAAAATTAAAAAAGATGCAGACAGACGAAGAAGCCATGAAAACTATTACTGAGTAAAAAGAAGTGTAGATGAAGAAATAAAAGAAAGCAAAGTCTTAAGACCTATCTAGAGGAAAAAAAATAAAGATTGATCAATTATAGGTCAAGTGTATTATTGCTGAAAATGTTAGTTAATTGATAGTTGTATGCTTTTCATGAGAACACTTTGATCAAGCAACATTTAGACTGGGATTGTTTGAGAAAGTAATGGTTAAGTTTGTTGGAAAATGTTGAAAACATTTTCGTCTATCTCTTTTCCCTCTTGAAAACCTATCATAACGATAGGAAAGTGTTAGGGTGATCTCTGTGATGTGTTAGGGTGGCCTTGGTAGCAGACTGTGAAAGAATTCACAAACTCAGAGAGAAAGCCAATAGAAAAGAATTTATTTACTTTCCTAAGGGAGGAAAGGGGCTGGATACGGAGAGTTGTATTGGCCTTGGAGGGTGGGGGCACGCAATTTTATTGGGAGTTGAGGAAAGGGGGGGCTGTAGTTGGGTAATTAGGGTGATGCATTTGTTGGCCCTTGAGTTATTCCGTTATCTCCAGATGTCACGTTTGGCTGCTGTATTCTGTCTTTAGTTTTGGTGCCAACTGACGAGGGATGTTACAACCTTTATGTCTGAAGGCAAAAACAGAAAATACGAGGTCGGCCATCTGTGATGAAGTCAAGAAAGGACTAATGGGAAAAAACAGGAAGGAGGAGAAAGAATGTCTGGAGCAGCTCAGAGTTTTAGATGCGTTCTAGGCCTTTCCAATTAAAACATTCAAGGTGCCAGCCAGAGACTGAGTTAACCCTTTCTCGTCCCCAAGATGCTTGGGAGAACATTGAACCCTTTCAGAAAGGATTATAAAAGGTGTCATTCCGCAAGGTTAAGGACTGAAAAGAAGAGAGTGGAAAGAGCAGAGGGAAGGCACGTCATGTTGGGGCAGTGAAACACGGATTCAAGATACAGACGA